ACCTAGGAGTAGGACAGTGGTCTGAAGCCAGATGATAAAGGTCCTTTAGTGCCAAACTAAGGAGTTCAGAAATTATTGTTAGAGGAGAGCTACTGAGGTTTTTGAGTAGGGCACTTATATATTCAGGAATGAATCAGTAGAGGGGATAAATGAGGGTACCCTCAAAATCACAAGCAATGAAGTATTAGAACTGAATTTTTAGGGACAGCAATATCAGCCTACTGGTTCTGTAAGAGAAGATTGAATGTTGGGAGAGGCAAAAAATAAGGCCATCGGAAAAGGTAGGGTAGGGACAGAGTATACAGGGCTTGAAAGCCAGGCAAAAGCATATAAACTGGGATCCCTTGGCTCTAATACCTGATTCCCTATTTGGAGAAAGTCTCCTTATCTTTTCTAAGACTGTTTGCTTTTCCTGGAGTTTGCTTCAGCTATAAATGTTGTAATTTTCTATAATGTTCTGACCTGCTACAAACCTTGGCTGCACATCAGAATCACCTAAAGAGTTTTAAAAGCTATTGATGGCTAGATTCTCACCACCAAGGATTCAGAGTTATCTTGTCTTAGATGCAGCCTGGACACAGATTTATTTAAAAGTTCCCCATGTGATTCTAATGTGCACCCAAGGTTGAGATCAATTCATGTAGAAAACAATGAAGCACTAAGATTCTTAAGCATGGTAATAATATGTTTTAAAAGGTGGGGTTTTTTTTGTTCTGTTTTTTTGTTTTGTTTTTTTTTTTTTTTGAGACGGAGTTTCGCTCTTGTTACCCAGGCTGGAGTGCAATGGCGCGATCTCGGCTCACCGCAACCTCCGCCTCCTGAGTTCAGGCAATTCTCCTGCCTCAGCCTCCTGAGTAGCTGGGATTACAGGCACGCGCCACCATGCCCAGCTAATTTTTTGTAGTTTTAGTAGAGACGGGGTTTCACCGTGTTGACCAGGATGGTCTCGATCTCTTGACCTCGTGATCCACCCGCCTCGGCCTCCCAAAGTGCTGGGATTACAGGCTTGAGCCACGGCGCCCGGCCTGTTCTGTTTTTTTCCCCCAAGACTGAGTCTTGCTCTGTTGCCCAGGCTGGAGTGCAATGGGATGATCTCAGCTCGCTGCAACCTTTACCTCCTGGGTTCAAGCAATTCTCCCGCCTCAGCCTCCCAAGTAGCTGGGATTCCAGGCATGTACCACCACATCGAGCTAATGTTTTGTACTTTTAGTAGAGACAGAGTTTCACCAAACTGGTCTCAAACTCCTGACCTTGTGATCAGCCCACCTCAGCCTCCCAAAGTGCTGGGATTAGAGGTATGAGCCACTGCGCCCGGCTGCAAAAAGGTTATTTTAAGAAAGACTAACAGGAATATATAGACTAGCAGGGAAAGACTACAGAAAACCAACTATAATTTTGCAATAATCCAGGAGAAAAATTTAGGAAAGCCTGGATTAACATACATGCAATAATGTTGTAGGGAGGAAGATGAATGCAAGAAATATTTAGCGAGAAGTAGCACCAGGATTCAGTAAGTAACTGAATATTTAATCTGATCAAAAGAAAAAAATATAGTCAAGTTTCTAGCATAGAAGAATAATGGAATCCCTAGCAAAATGAAAATAGTTGTGAAACAGCTGGTTAATATTATTGAGAATATGGAAACTAATATTAAATTCTAAGTCAGGGTCTAACCTATGTGCCTCACATAATCTCATTTAATCTTTATAACAACCCTATAAATACTATCATTCCCATTTTATAGATTTAGAAACCAAGTAAGAGTAATTAAATTATTTGCCCAAAGTTACACAGTAAGAGGTAGAGAAGACGTTTGACCTCAACTGGTCTATTTTTCCTTATAATAGGAAGATGACCAGTTTATGTACTGAATCTGTTGAATTTGAACAAAACAAACAATTCAAAAAAACAAAATGGCTATAGAGGCCAGATGGTAACACAAATGAGTGAATCAAGTCAGATATAACTGTGGAGCTATGAAAACATCGCGAGGAGGCAGTTCTACTTAGTTATGCTTGAATGTTGCCCTATGTGAATTTCAGGCCTAGTATTGCCATATTTTAAGATTTTTCATGAAAAGGTGGAAATCTGGATTTGTATGTAAAAATTTGTGTGAATATCAAACAAATTCAAGTGTTTAAAACTACTATCGTCCAAACTATGGCTTCAAGTTTGCATCTCTGAGCAATAGGCTGTTGGAAAGTCAGAATTCAAGATAAGTGAGAGATCTGGGCTGAAGATGTATGATAAGGGAATCCATAAGCCCAGAGAGGATAGCAGATGCTTCCAAGAATAGTATGTGTTAGAATAACCAGTACTTGACATGATTAGTTAAAATAAGGCAAAAATAGATGAGGTAACAAGGTAGTCAGGACTTACAGAAAACTGATAATAGAAGTGGAAAACTAGCAGACTGAAGTGGGTATATTTAAAATTCAGTTTTCAATGAACTAAAAGCTAAATTCCAGATGATTTTTTTTTTATTTTTAGATAGGGTCTCACTCTGTTGCCCAGGCTGGAATGCAGTGGCATTATCATGGCTCACTTCACCCTCTACCTCCAGGGATCAAGCAATCCTCCTGCCTCAGCCTCCCAAGTAGCTGGGACTCCAGGCATGTGGGACATAGGCTAAATTTTGTATTTTTTTTGTAGAGATGGGCATTCACCACGTTGCCCAGCCTAGTCTCAAACTCCTGAGCTCAAGCTACCTGCCTACTTCGGTCTCCCAAAGAGCTGGAATTGCAGGGATGAGCCACCGCGCCCGGCCAAGCTGGATGTTCTTATAATGAAGACACTTAACATTCAATAATTAAAAATGTGTTATACCAGGCACGGTGGCTCACACCTGTAATCTCAGCACTTTGGGAGGCCAAGGTGGGCGGATGACTTGAAGTCAGGAGTTTGAGACCAGTCTGGGCAACATGGTGAAACCCCATCTCTACTAGAAATACAAAATTAGCTGGGCATGGTGGCACACACTTGTAATCCCAGCTATTCAAGAGGCTGAGACAGGAGAACCACTTGAATTCAGGAGGTGGAAGCTGCAGTGAGCCAAGATCATGCCACTACACTCCAGCCTATGTGACAAAGTGAGACTGTCTCAAAAAAAAGTTTTTTTTAAAGGTTTTACTTAATGTTTTATTTAATCTTTACTAATTGTGAATCCTTCTGCTATGGGCTTTGCAGGGATGATTTCAATTTGAAATCTTTCTATTTTAAGTGAGAGAAAGGTAATTGAAAGATTGTTTTATCAGTATTTTTACTTTTTCTACATTAGGTTACTTACTTCCAGGTCAATATCTCACATAAACTCCTATCTGCAAAGCCCCTAGCAAAAGGGTTCACAATTAGCAAAGATTAAATAAAACATTAAGTAAAACCTTTTTAAATGTTTTTAATTATTGAATTTTAAGTGTCTTAATTATAAGAACATCTGACTTTTAGAGCTAGGTGAATATTCTCTTTGAAGTCTAGAGAGAATAGTTTTTGAATATTACTCTTCCTAGTAAACTCATGTTTTCATTCATTATCAGATAAAGTACCCAGTTATGTAAAAATATCATATATACTAATGCATTTTTGCAAACCTTGAAGCCCTACAGAGATTATAAAGAAATATTATTCTGGTTTTATCATGAAGCTAGAAGGGTCCAAAAAATTACAAAGTGAAACCTCTTGTATTTAAAACAAAACTTGCACCACCACCACCCCCAAAATAGTTTTTTTTTAAAGGAGAATCAATCTTCCAAGTTTTAAAGTTCAAGTAAAATTGATTTACTAGCAATAATTGTAGTAACAGTAAGGTGGGGAATGACGACTTTATGGCAAAGATCTACAGATGTTGGAATTGTGTTAGAAACTTTCGGAGCCACACCACAGCCTTCTATTAACACATTTAAATGTAGTAGGCAAAACCAATTTCCCTGAAAACTGTATTAAGGACCAGGTGCTTTACTACCAAGAGCTGTTTTGACACATCAAACAAAAGTTTGGGTGTTTGAAAATCCTGCCTCTTACTGAACACTTTCTTTAAAAGTCATGCATGTTAAAATTTCCTGCCTTTGACTACATGCTGTATCAAGTACTGTATGTTAAAATGGAGATGGGGAGGTTTTTGTTGTTTAAGTTTATGGAAATATGACTCCATTTTAGTATAGCTACAATGTCCAAACGATGGAATAAGACCCATCAATACATTATCTGAGAAGTATAAATAGTGCAACTTGCCGGATTTGAAAAGCCTAATCCTATTTTTTATGGTGGACGTTAAAATGAAAATACACAACTGACAATGTTTAACGTGCACTTACAAAAAAAAAAAAAAAAAGGAGCTAGCAATTTGAAATCCTCCAAACACCCGTGCTCTGCAAACACTTCTTCCAAAGAAGTGTGACACACAGGGTGTTTTCCTCGGTGACCGCCAGCCGGACATTCCTATGGGAAAAGCTGCTGCTTGTGCGCGGTACAAAGACAATCAATCCCTTCCTTTCATCCCTTTCTCATTCACTCTGCAGGGGGTGGGCCAATAAGGAACTGAATGAAGCTCTCCTTTCGCTTCAGGGCGCAAGTCTTGCCTACTTCCCACTACTCTCCGGGTTCCCTAAGGCTGCCGAAACAGAGGACCTGGAGCCGGGTAGTGTCCGGCGCTGCGTCCGGGGGCGCCAAGGCATCAACCCGACTGACCTGGCCTGAGGAGAGGCCCAGGACGCAAAGAAAAGCAATGCTCACTCGCCGCGCACGGGGCTCAGGAGAGATAAGGGTGCGTTTTCTTCCCATATTCCCGCTGAGAAAACGAGGTCGGGCGAAAAGGGGCTGGTACAGCTGGAATATGGGATATGGACTCAGGGAACAAAGGGACTGGAGCAAGAAGCAGCAGCCACACCAACGCAGACTCAAAAGGGCTCCCCGGCTTTACGCACGCAGCCCGCATCCCCACAGCGCTCGGCGCCCCTTACGCCACCAGCTCAGCCTCAGAGACTTCGCGAATATGGCTTTGCGCACTGCGGCGGGGCTGCGCCGCAACCGAGCTCGGCCCTGTGGCTCCTCCCCGCAGCCCTTCGCGGATTGGTGGTAGACGGCGACCGGGCCGCTGATTGGGCGGCGAAGGAGCCATTCGGGGCGGCTCTGGTGGGTTCGGCTGCCCCAAGAGTGATAAGTTCGGCTTCAGACACGCCTCAGCGCCAGCAGTGAGCCGGAGCTCTATGGAGGTGGCAGCGGGTACTGGGTGGCGGCTGCAGCAGCGACTCCTCTGAGCTGAGAGTTTCAGGCCGTCCCCGACTCCTTCCTCCCCCTTCCCTCCCCTTTTTTTGTTTTCCGTTCCCCTTTCCCCTCCCTTCCCTATCCCCGACGACCGGATCCTGGGGAGGCAGCTGCATTAGCAGCTGCTGAGTTCTCGGTGAAGGTGAGTGGAGCTGCCGCCGCCGCCGCTGCCGCCGATTGGAGCGCTCTAAAATGGCCGCCGTCCCTGGCCTCTTCTAGTGTGGTACAAAATGGCGGCCGCAGGCGGAGCCGGGTGGGGCGACCCTTTTTTAGCATTTCCTGTGCGCTTCAGACACCTGGAAAGTCTTGGCCTTTGTTCTCCCTTCCTGTTGCTGACGGAGTAGAAGGAAAACGTCAGTGTTGGCCAGACCGCCGTGCAGTCATGGCCAAGTGGCCCATCCCTGCGGGGCTGAGGCCGTGACGGACCGAGGCACGGGTGTGCTCAGACGGCGAGGGAGCGTGGCTCGGGCCGCGAGCGCCGCGGCAGGAGGCACGCGGGCCGGCAGGGAGGGCCCGGCCGTTGGCGCGGGACCAGCGAACCGCAGGCGTCCCGGAGCCCGGCCTTCCGGCGGGGAGGTGTGTAGGGCTCGGAGTCGGCGGGGCTGCCCTTCGTGGGGGAGGAGAGAGTGAGTGATGGTTTCTGCCCCTTTTGTCAGCCGAGGAGGCCGTGGCGAGGCGGCTGTCAGTCCCGGGGGGATTTATGGGGCAGGAGGGGGCCCGCTTGGAGGCGGCGGGTGGGCAGGAGGCCGCCTTCCTGCCGGGAGAACAAAGAGCCGGGCGCTGGGCCGGCGGGGGCGGCCTCCGCTGCTCCTGACTGCGGAGCGACCCGCGGCCTTACCGAGAGGCTGTCGGAAACACTTCCCTAACTTGCGCCTGGGTGGGAGGAATGCTTTGCTCTTTTGTTCCCAGGAAGGGAAAACGGGGCGGAGGTTCCTGCTGCCATGTTGCGGCCCTGGTCTTCCTCCTGCGAGTGTTAGCCCCGTACACCCGGCCCCCTCTCGCGCGCCTTTCCACGAGCTCCACGGGGAGGAGGCAAAAGGGTGGACGGGGGTAAACTGCTGAACAGCTTTCGGAGAGGTCTTATCCAGTAGCTGGCGTCCCCGTCGAGGCAGTAAAAATTACTAGGGCAGATATTTTCCACGTGTTGTTGCCCCTGTCTGTAGAGTTAGATTTTTCTGTTGATCTCAGTGCTGAGTTGTAGTAAAGGTGGTAGAATGTGGCTTTTCAAAAGATTCGTTTTGAGCAGTTTGAAATGCTCGTGTTTCTATGAAGTCTCTTTGCATTCTTGAACACCGAGGAATTTCCAGGTGGCTAAACAAAACGTAGTTGTCCATTTGTGTTTTGAGTACATTCTAGTTCAGTCTTGCAGATCTGCAGTGCAGTGACAGTGCCAGGATCTGAAATATGTTATAATTGAGTGAAGGCTTATGGATCTGTAAGTTAGCAGCGTCTAATTTTGGTGCCTTTTCTCCTTCCAGGTATTTGATTTCTCCCATCCCCTCCCCTCCCCACCCCATCTGTTAATATTATTCTTTTGAAGATTCTTCGTTGTCAAGCCGCCAAAGTGGAGAGTGCGATTGCAGAAGGGGGTGCTTCTCGTTTCAGGTACATCTAGATTTTATTTGAGGGAGTCATTTGGAAAAGGCCAGTCCCAAAACCTAGTTACCACAGCAGATAATTCCAACTTAATGGGCTGCAATTTTCAATTTAAAAGTTGTTAAATTTTCATTGACAGTCTTCTAAGAACTGCCATCTGAAGAATAGATAAAATCTATTTATTTGCTTTTCCTTTGGGCCCAAGTTTAGTCTTCATTTGTAGCATCATAGATAAACACTAAAATATAGGCCTGGCTCCAGTCTGGGCAAAATAGCGAGACCCCCATCTCTACAAGAAAAATAAAACACAAAATAGATTCTTTATTCTTTCTGAGAGAGACATAGTTGGTGTAAACCAAAAATTTGTTTTCTTTTAAATAGTGCTTCTTCGGGCGGAGGAGGAAGTAGGGGTGCACCTCAGCACTATCCCAAGACTGCTGGCAACAGGTGTGGTAAACATGTAAAAAGCAATGAGCTAAAGTCTTTCCCATGTGACAGTATAATTAAGGCAATAGCCATCAAGACTCCTAATCTTAAGGGTCATGGTTTCTTTTGGGTATCCTAAATATAAAATATCAGCTTTTGATTAGAGTCGAGGCTCTCAAACTGTTACTTTTTCTTTATTCTTTGCGTTATTATTACTGATGTTTTTTCTGACATCAGTAGCTATTATTCCTACTAATTGGTATTAGTAAAGTGATAAACATGCAACATGGTCAATAAGACATTAGAAAGTGTTAATTTGCAGCCTGTACAGTAGCTTACATCTGTAATCCCAACAACAACTTTGGGAGGCAAAGGTGGGAGGATTGCTTGAGCCTAGGAGTTTGAGATCGGCATGGGCAGCACAGCAAGACCTCCTATGTTTAAAAAAAATGGATCGAGACCATCCTGGTCAACATGGTGAAACCCCGTCTCTACTAAAAATACAAAAAATTAGCTGGGCATGGTGGCGTGTGCCTGTAATCCCAGCTACTCAGGAGGCTGAGGCAGGAGAATTGCCTGAACCCAGGAGGCGGAGGTTGCGGTGAGCCGAGATCGCGCCATTGCACTCCAGCCTGGGTAACAAGAGCGAAACTCCGTCTCAAAAAAAAAAAAAAATGTTAATATCCAAAATGTGGTTCCTGGATCTGTTGATGTTGAGAATATTTGCTAGACATGCAAATTCTTAGGCTGGACCCGAAACTAGTGAAAGCAGAAACTGGGTGGGCCCAGCAATCTGTTTTAACAAGTCCTTCAGGTGATTCCGATACACACTATTGTTCCAGAACCACTGATCTCCTTAGTTGGCTTTTGGAGGGGAAGTCGAGAAAGCCTAAATTACTTTTTCTATTTAAAAGAATTTATGATGTTTAACATTTGGTGTGTGACAGTGTTTTTGTTAATTTTTATTAATCAGCGAGTTCCTGGGGAAAACCCCAGGGCAAAACGCTCAGAAATGGATTCCTGCACGAAGCACTAGACGAGATGACAACTCCGCAGCAAACAACTCCGCAAACGAAAAAGAACGACATGATGCAATCTTCAGGAAAGTAAGAGGGTAAGTTTCTAGGTCTGTTTTACTAAAAGATGGGAAGAAGTATTGATTAGCTGTTATTTCTCTGGCGTGTGTGCTTAGAAGGCAAGGTTCATGCCTAAAGTATATGTTTTAATGAATGTTCATAACAGTTTTTTTAAAGTGTCTTGAACCGGCCGGGCGCAGCAGCTCATGGCTGTAATCCCAGCACTTTGGGAGGCCAATGCAGGCAGATCACTTGAGGTTGGGAGTTCTAGACCAGCCTAGCCAACTTGGTGAAACCCCATCTCTTCTAAAAATACAAAAATCAGCTGGGTGCAGTTGCAAGCACCTGTAGTCCCAGCTACTTGAGAGGCTGAGGAAAATCACTTGAACCCCAGAGGTGAAGGTTGCAGTGAGCCAAGATCACACTACTGCACTCCAACCTGGGTGACAGAGCAAGACTCTGTCTCAAAAAAAAAAAAAAATTGAAGAATAACACATCATACTTTGGGGCTTAGAGTTGCTTTCAGCTATTGGATTGCTGTCCATAATCCTGTTGTGCTAGCGTTTCCCTTGGCTAAAGGAAATGGTATGTTATTTAAGCCAGTGAAGCAGGGAATATAATGGTCTTAGCTCATGTTGTTGTCTTGATAATGAGATTTTTGCAGTCTAACCGTGAGAAAAGGATTCTTGTCAAAACAGTTGGGAATCCCTCCACCCCCATCTAGTTCAAATAATTGTAATTAAAATCGCAGGTTTATTTCTGCATCCTTTGGTTCTACATGAGTAAGAAATCATGTCTTGCTTTTAAAGGGAGCAAGTAGAAGAACAGTCCGTATAATTTAAAGGCAGTTTTTCAATTCATATTTTGTGTGTTAGCTAACGCTTACAATGTAATTCCTTTTTTTCCCAGCATATTAAATAAGCTTACTCCTGAAAAGTTTGACAAGCTATGCCTTGAGCTCCTCAATGTGGGTGTAGAGTCTAAACTCATCCTTAAAGGGGTCATACTGCTGGTAAGTTTTAAATATTGGCTTAACTCAAAAGGGAGAGGGAACTATTTAACAAACTCAAGTGGTATTTTTTTACATTTGGATTACTGCTTAAAACCCTTGAGGTGTGAGCTAAATAGGTATGTATTTTTGAAATACTGATGGTGATTAAAAAGAACCCTGACATTTAGTAGCATTAGATTTAACAGGTAAATTTTAGGTTTATGCTATCGTTGGATAAATAGGGGTGTTTAGCAGGCTATTCTTTTTCTTTTGTGGAAAACACCATAAGTCTTGGAAATGCATTGTATGAGAGTTTATGTAAAACTTAGTTTTGATATACATGGCATTTTCTGACTCCCAGGAGCTGGATGTGACTAGATGAGACCTGTAAAACAGGGCATTTTTGGTACATTGTAATAGCTAACGTTTAGATGGTTACAATTTTCCTAAAGAAAGAGTTCTTAAAGTTTTCGTATTTAGTTTAAGCAATGACATTTTCTGTAGATTGTGGACAAAGCCCTAGAAGAGCCAAAGTATAGCTCACTGTATGCTCAGCTATGTCTGCGATTGGCAGAAGATGCACCAAACTTTGATGGCCCAGCAGCAGAGGGTCAACCAGGACAGAAGCAAAGCACCGTAAGTGGTAGTTTTTGTTTGCTTATTTTAAAGTTGACTTCAAAAATTGTCTTAAATGACAAATTTCTTTTTTTTTTTTCCAGACATTCAGACGCCTCCTAATTTCCAAATTACAAGATGAATTTGAAAACCGAACTAGAAATGTTGATGGTAAGAATTACAGTTGATACTAAGTAGTATTGTATATTTTCAGCTTAATTCTGAATGTTGGTTTACTTCATTGGTATTTTTTTTCAGTCTATGATAAGCGTGAAAATCCCCTCCTCCCTGAGGAGGAGGAACAGAGAGCCATTGCTAAGATCAAGATGTTGGGAAACATCAAATTCATTGGAGAGCTTGGCAAGCTTGATCTTATTCACGAATCTATCCTTCATAAGTGCATCAAAACAGTAAGTATGATGGGGAAGTTAGGCTTAGGCGAATGTCGTCAATCACTACTACATTGAGTCAGTTATCTAAGAGGGTGGTTGACTAGTTAAATACAGATGGGCAACAACATTTACTAAACATAAATGAGTAATTTGGAAGTATGCGGTGTGTTTGACAAAGTAGGGTTAGAACTGATAAACACAAATCAGTAGAGAGCACTATACTAGATTCACTAGGAACTAAGAATGAGTCATTGCAAACGTAAAGGGAAAGTACTATGCCTAAGTAGAGTAACTGTACAATTTTATCAACATGGCATTTTATTCCTGTAGCTTTTGGAAAAGAAGAAGAGAGTCCAACTCAAAGATATGGGAGAGGATTTGGAGTGCCTCTGTCAGATAATGAGGACAGTGGGACCTAGATTAGACCATGAACGAGCCAAGGTATGTGTGTAGCTGATGATGGAAGCAGTTACAAGTACTTTGCCTATTTTGTGACATCATAGGGGATTGCCATATTTAGCCATTAACTTGGTTATCTAGAAGCCTTAAAAGCTGTAAATTGTACAATTTGCTTTAGCTCTTCCAATTAATGTGTTATTCTCTTACCAGTCCTTAATGGATCAGTACTTTGCCCGAATGTGCTCCTTGATGTTAAGTAAGGAATTGCCAGCGAGGATTCGTTTCCTGCTGCAGGTAAGACTGGTTTCTTTAAATGCGTTGGTAAACTGAGTTTTTTGTTTAGGAATATTAAAATTATTTTTCAATTAAAGGATACCGTAGAGTTGCGAGAACACCACTGGGTTCCTCGCAAGGCTTTTCTTGACAATGGACCAAAGACGATCAATCAAATCCGTCAGGATGCAGTAAAAGTAAGATTGGGTTTTCTTTGTTTTCGTTTGTCACATAGACTTTGTGTTTGTAGAGCAGTATGGGATCCCCTCCCCACCCACCCCAAACACTTGAGGAGTCTCTCACATCTTAGTGGTGGAACTTAGTGTTTTTAGTGTCTTGTCTTTTTTTTTTTTTTTTTTTAAAAGACGGAGTCTTGCACTGTCACCTAGGCTGGAGTGCAGCGGTGCAGTCTTGGTTCACTGCAACCTCCGCCTCCCAGTTCAAGCAATTCTCCTGCTTCAGCCTCCTCAGTAGCTGGGACTATGGGCTTGTGCCACCACACCCCACTAATTTTTTTTTGTATTTTTAGTAGAGGTAGGGTTTTACCATGTTGGCCAGGCTGGTCTCGAACTCTTGACCTCAAGGAATCCAAGGAGCTTGGGCCTCCCAAAATGCTAGGATTACAGTTTTGAGTCACTGTGCCTAGCTTTGTCTGCCATTTTTGAAAGACATTATTTACAGAAATAACATAACTGATGGTTTAATATCTAGGATGTCCTCCCCATTTGGAAGAATTTTAGGTTTAAGTAAAATAGTGTCCAGAGACAAAAAGTGCTTATTCACTTCATTTCTAAAGGATCTAGGGGTGTTCATTCCTGCTCCTATGGCTCAAGGGATGAGAAGTGACTTCTTTCTGGAGGGACCGTTCATGCCACCCAGGATGAAAATGGATAGGGACCCACTTGGAGGGCTTGCTGATATGTTTGGACAAATGCCAGGTAATTTTGAAAAAACAATGGTTTCATTAAGCTAAAAAAAATCAGTTTTAACTTTTTTGTCAGTTTTGAGAGTTGTCCATATATGTATTTTAAGGTAGCGGAATTGGTACTGGTCCAGGAGTTATCCAGGATAGATTTTCACCCACCATGGGACGTCATCGTTCAAATCAACTCTTTAATGGCCATGGGGGACACATCATGCCTCCCACACAATCGCAGTTTGGAGAGATGGGAGGCAAGTTTATGAAAAGCCAGGTAAGTAAATATTTGAGTGTTTTGTTAAATTCTGCAATATGTGTGATTCCATTTGCTATTAAAACTATTTTAGGGGTGCATGTTTTCTAAACCATATTTATATCCGTAACATTTATTTCAAACTGAAATGCTTATCCTTAAGATCAATAAAATATTAATAAAATCACGTCACTGTATTTGACAGTTAGGTTAGATTTTTATTCTTCCCTGCTTCATCTTTTACTTTCTCTGGGCAAATTCAGTTAAGCTTTCCTTTTGGCTTGGCTCATCCCTTTGGTACTTGATTACCGTAATTTGTGGACCCCTTTTTATCTAGACTTTCTTTCTCCTTTTCTGAAATAGGGGCTAAGCCAGCTCTACCATAACCAGAGTCAGGGACTCTTATCCCAGCTGCAAGGACAGTCGAAGGATATGCCACCTCGGTTTTCTAAGAAAGGACAGCTTAATGCAGATGAGGTACATTTGCCTATGTTACTTATATACCATAGTTTGTCAATTCAGAAATTTATTGCCCAATGATTATAAAAAGACGCGTTATAAAGAGGACTTATGCTGGAGTTCTTTACATTTTTCTCTCTTTCCTGTACTACTTTTTCTTTCTTTAAATGTCCAGCGTCCTATGAGCGAAGATTATGAGATATGAGGGCAAGTCTCCTAAAGTCTGTTAGAGCAAGGAAAATGGTTTTCAAGATATTGTGGTTTCCTTCTAAGTAAGGTGGTTTAACAACTAAGAATAAAACGCATTTTTAAACTGTAGTTAAATTTGCAGTTTTTTATTTGAATATTTTAGTCATGCTAATCCTAAAAGAATTCTCATAAGTGTGAGATTTATAATAGTATCTCACTACTATATGCATTCAGTCTTTAAATTTTTTGCCAGAAATTAAACCTGCTAACATGAAGTACCGTCTTGAGTTTTTAAGAAAGCTTATTTCTGCCCTAGATTCTGTCATGTTTGTATAGGATTTTAGGGTGTTAACATTTAATATGTTTGCCAATTGCATGCTGTTAATTTAGGTGTTTTGATTTGTTTTCAATTCCAGATTAGCCTGAGGCCTGCTCAGTCGTTCCTAATGAATAAAAATCAAGTGCCAAAGCTTCAGCCCCAGATAACTATGATTCCTCCTAGTGCACAACCACCACGCACTCAAACACCACCTCTGGGACAGGTATGAACCATAATATGACAGCATTTTCTATTGTTCCATTATTTTCTAAAGATGGCTGCAGACTTTTTTTCTAAATGAAGTGTGTTCATCCCTCTAATTTCATGTTCCTTTTTTTAAAAAATGTCTGTCGTTAATTGTTTAGACACCTCAACTTGGTCTCAAAACTAATCCACCACTTATCCAGGAAAAGCCTGCCAAGACCAGCAAAAAGCCGCCGCCATCAAAGGAAGAACTACTTAAACTAACTGTAAGTTTTAAGTGCCCCATTTTAGTGTAATTAGCCTATATTTGAGATAGGGAAAACATTAAAGACACTTGCATGTGTTCTTCACAGGAAACTGTTGTGACTGAGTATCTGAATAGTGGAAATGCAAATGAGGCTGTCAGTGGTGTAAGAGAAATGAGGGCTCCTAAACACTTTCTTCCTGAGATGTTAAGCAAAGTAATCATCCTGTCACTAGACAGAAGCGATGAAGATAAAGAAAAAGCAAGTTCTTTGATCAGTTTACTCAAACAGGAAGGAATAGCCACAAGTGACAACTTCATGCAGGTAAAACTGGACACCTTACTGATTCTGTGATAAGAACTCTTACCATTCAAATTTGAAAACTAACAGACTGTTGTATATTTCTTCTAAGGCTTTCCTGAATGTATTGGACCAGTGTCCCAAACTGGAGGTTGACATCCCCTTGGTGAAATCATATTTAGCACAGTTTGCAGCTCGTGCCATCATTTCAGAGCTGGTGAGCATTTCAGAACTAGCTCAACCACTGGAAAGTGGCACCCATTTTCCTCTCTTCTTACTTTGTCTTCAGCAATTAGCTAAATTACAAGATCGAGAATGGTTAACAGAACTTTTTCAACAAAGCAAGGTCAATATGCAGAAAATGCTCCCAGGTAAGACAATCCTGACTTGTTTGTTTTGTTTTTATTATATCTAGAGATTTCTAGTACCTTGAGTGGGTTTATGTAGGTTAGACAGTCTGATTGTCCTTCCCAGATAATGGTAAACATCACCACAGATTTCACCACCTTATAAAAATAGATTTATGATTTAACTGCTTTCCTTTGATCAATCTTGTATACTTGAGATATATTTGTGAAGTTCTGCTCTTTGGACAGGACAGCTTGGTAAAATGAACTATTGGATGATGCAAGTGGTTTTGTCTTTTCAGAAATTGATCAGAATAAGGACCGCATGTTGGAGATTTTAGAAGGAAAGGGACTGAGTTTCTTATTCCCACTCCTCAAATTGGAGAAGGAACTGTTGAAGCAAATAAAGTTGGATCCATCCCCTCAAACCATATATAAATGGATTAAAGATAACATCTCTCCCAAACTTCATGTAGATAAAGGATTTGTGAACATCTTAATGACTAGGTAAGATGAATGGTCTTCTATGTTTCATGTACTAGAAAACGATGTCTACAAAGCGGAAGACTAAGTTGTCTCTTGAGGAAGAAAACTCACTTGAGTTCTAACAAGACCTCTTTCTGTCCAGCTTCTTACAGTACATTTCTAGTGAAGTAAACCCCCCCAGCGATGAAACAGATTCTTCCTCTGCTCCTTCCAAAGAACAGTTAGAGCAGGAAAAACAACTACTACTTTCTTTCAAGCCAGTAATGCAGAAATTTCTTCACGATCATGTTGATCTACAAGTCAGCGCCCTGTATGCTCTTCAGGTGCACTGCTATAACAGCAACTTCCCAAAAGGTAAGAAGACTTATATCAGAAGAACACTGTGGGGCAGTTCTTGAAACAACACACTAAATAATGGGCTTATTCTTTCTATTTTTTTAAAGGCATGTTACTTCGCTTTTTTGTGCACTTCTATGACATGGAAATTATTGAAGAAGAAGCTTTCTTGGCTTGGAAAGAAGATATAACCCAAGAGTTTCCGGGAAAAGGCAAGGCTTTGTTCCAGGTAAGTCTTTTGTTAAAAATTTGGTCTGCTTATTTCAGTTTGTTTGGTATTAACTTAAAATGAAGAGCCTTTGTCAAATGAAATACAGGCAAGATAGTGCTAGTTATTAGTTTGTCTTCACCCATACATTTTATTCTGCACTATTTAAAGCTGTGATTAAGTAAATGAATAGAATAGAATGAATCAATTCTAGTGGTAAGATGTTAGAGGTAGCTAACACATTTTTCAAGGAGGATAGCTATTTATATAGATGGAGGCGACTATGTACAAGTTTTAAGCTAAAAAATGTCAATAAAGAAGAACTTGCAGCTGGGCATGTGGCTCATGCCTGTAATTCCAGCACTTGGAGAGGCTGAGGTAGGAGGATCACTTGAGCTCAGGAGTTGAAGACTAGCCTGGGCAGCATAGTGAAACCTTGTCGCTAAAAAATACAAAAAAGCCAGATGTCATGACATGTTCCTGTGGTTCTGGTGCTACATACTTGGGAGGATTTCTTGAGCCCAGGAGGCAGAGGTTGCAGGATCTGAGATCACATCACTGTAGTCCAACTTGTACAACAGTGAGACTTGTCTCAAAAAAAGAAAATAAAAAGTTTATTAAAAAGGAAGTTGCTTCTGATTTCTCACAATTTGATTTTGTCTTACTGACTGAAGTTGTAGCTCTAGGGGAAGGACATCACATTCCCAGATCACAGTGAGTGCATTAATCACCTGGAGAACAGTTTAAAAGTAGGTTCCAGGCCTAATGCCAGAGATTCTGGTTTAGTAGGTCTGTGATACAAAATCCACGTGATTGTCATACTACTAGTTTTCCAGGAGGCCCAGGCTTTGATTTGAGAAACCTTGGTCCTGTAGCATCTTACTACCTTTTTACTGCTGATTATAAAATAGGTTGATGAGAATCATCCTTGCAGGATTCTGGATAATATACCACTCACTGTTCATATAACTTAATATATATACAAATTATTTGTAAGGATGTCCTTGTTTCATATTCTAAAACTGTAGTACCACCTAAAACTTGGTCTTTGGTTGGATTTCTATTTATATCATGAACTATTTTAAGTTACAAATGTTAATTTACAGGTGAATCAATGGCTAACCTGGCTAGAAACTGCTGAAGAAGAAGAATCAGAGGAAGAAGCTGACTAAAACCAGCCAAAGCCTTAAATTGTGCAAAACATACTGTTGCTATGATGTAACTGCATTTGACCTAACCACTGCGAAAATTCATTCCGCTGTAATGTTTTCACAATATTTAAAGCAGAAGCACGTCAGGATTTCCTTCTGCATAAGGTTTTTTTTGTAGTGTAATGTCTTAATCATAGTCTACCATCAAATATTTTAGGAGTATCTTTAATGTTTAGATAGTATATTAGCAGCATGCAATAATTACATCATAAGTTCTCAAGCAGAGGCAGTCTATTGCAAGGACCTTCTTTGCTGCCAGTTATCATAGGCTGTTTTAAGTTAGAAACTGAATAGCAACACTGAATACTGTAGAAATGCACTTTGCTCAGTAATACTTGAGTTGTTGCAATATTTGATTATCCATTTGGTTGTTACAGAAAAATTCTTAACTGTAATTGATGGTTGTTGCAGTAATAGTATATTGCCTGTATTTCTACCTCTAGTAATGGGCTTTATGTGCTAGATTTTAATATCCTTGAGCCTGGGCAAGTGCACAAGTCTTTTTAAAAGAAACATGGTTTACTTGCACAAAACTGATCAGTTTTGAGAGATCGTTAATGCCCTTGAAGTGGTTTTTGTGGGTGTGAAACAAATGGTGAGAATTTGAATTGGTCCCTCCTATTATAGTATTGAAATTAAGTCTACTTAATTTATCAAGTCATGTTCATGCCCTGATTTTATATACTTGTATCTATCAATAAACATTGTGATACTTGATGTAGTGATGGGTGGCTGTAAATGGCATCCACAACCTGAAGAATTAATCAGACAGGTCACAAGTCTTATTAATTTGGAGAATATTGCTACACATTGCAACTAAAATTTGGTGACATTTATTTCTGTCAGACTGAAATGATCTTTGGACGAACTTAGCTACCTGTGCATGCTCAAATGGGTGATAGCAGAACCAATCAATATTTTTTTGTCCTGTTTGGGCCAGGGAAGCTGTTACACATTACGGCATTCACCTTCCCTGAAGTTTTAAGTTCATAAGCTTTTGGTGGGTATTTTGAGTACAGCAAAATGAAGGCTAAGCAGATTTGTATGAACCTATTTTAGATTTTAAAGGAGCTGTAAATTATTGCTGACTCTGCCCAACCCTTCCCACCAAGGGGAGGAAATAATTTTTAACCTAGCAAAAGGGGAGTAGATGGTTAGGTAGATCAATTCAGTTACTCTTATAGCCAGAATTCCCTCAATTCAGCCAGGGTATCAGGCCACGGGAAGTTTCAGAACGAAGCCCGGTATGCAGTGGTTTGTCTCGTTCACAGAATCATGCTTTAATCTTCCCACCCCATACATGTCAAGAGCTACACAAAATGTGTAATACTGCTTCCTTGTTCCAAAGACACCTAATAAGCAGTACACTTTATAACCTACCATACTATGAACAGCAGTACTTGGATATAATTGGGATGTACCTTGCACAATGGCCAATGTTTTTAGTATCAGCGTGTAGTGACTACTCTTCATTCACTTCATAGTGACTTCAAAATAAGACTGTATGTCTTTACTGCTCCAAATTTCTACTGCAAAATTGAAACAGTTGTCCAGTTTTCCCCATTCTCAAGCCTCATTTAGGGCTTCACAACCCTGGTTCTCTACACCAAAATTTTGTCAAGGTCACCAATAACTCCAATGCTGTATCCAGTAGGTTTTGACCCTCCTGTAGGCAGCATCTGACATGTTACTCATTCCTTGGAAATGTTAAATTGTTCCCAGGACACCTTTTTCTTTCCACCTTGCTAACTCCTGCTTCTCAGTTTCCAATGGGAGATGTCTGATCCCTTAACACCTTTTCAGTTGTCATACTTTGCATCCAGTCTAGCATCAAATCCTGTCTATCTCATTCCAAACACTTTAGAAATTGAACAACTCTCTTCTTCACCCAGCCACCCTCATTTCTTACCTAGGTACCACAGTATCCTTAACTGGCCTCCCTGCTTAGTCCTCACCCTCCATTTTGTCTTCTCAGCACAGCACCACTTGGCTCAAAGCCCACCCATCGTGCAAGGTACATCCCAAGTATATCCAAGTACTGCTGTTCATAGTGTGGTAGGTTATAAAGTGTGATGTTTGTTAGGTGTCTTTGGAACAAGGAAGCAGTATTATACATTTTGTGTAGCTCTTGACATGTATGGGGTGGGAAGATTAAATTTTTATGTCAAATTAAGATGGCTTCCCATCTGCTGGGATTTTTATGTCAACATACTTAATTTGGTCTACATGGCCCTACATCTGATTTTCTTATCCCTATCCCCACGTTTACCCCATGACCTTTTTCTCTGATCTAATTTGCACTGCTGCTGGCACTTAATCCTGTTCCCACCACACTGGCCTTGCTGCCCCTGGGACATGCCAAGCATCTTGGAGGTTTTATGTTCCTCCTTTCTTTTGGATAACTGGATGACTGGTTTCTCCCCTTCCTCAGGTCTTGACTCCAATGTCTTTTATTGGTAAATAATTCTAATAACCCTATTCCTGCAGATAAGGGGCAGGAAAGAAATGTGTGTGTGTGTATAATTTTTAAACCCTAAACACATCCTCATCCCTCTTTGTATTTCCATGTCTTATTACATGACATACTGCATATTTATATCTGATTCCTGCTAGAATGTGAAGAGCATGAAGTATTTGACAGTTTTTTTCACTGTTGTATTCCCAGCACCTAGAACTGCCTAGCACCCAGTAAATCAAATATTTGTTCAACCAAATCATGAATTAATAAAATTACCCTCCGTGGCAGGATGTGGACACAGAGGAAGGAAGTAGTGGAAAGACCTCAGACCAGATGGATCTAGGGGTTCTAGATCTGGGATTCTTCTAGGCTTCTAGATCTAGGGTTCTAGAGTTCTAGATCGATCTAGGGCTAATCTTTACCACTTAGAAGCAGTGAAATCTTAGGTAAGACATTTGAGTCTTGATTATTTTAGAAAACGGGGCTCAGCCTGGGCAACATGGGAAAACCCATGTCTACAAAAAATCGAAAAATTAGGTAGGTGTGTTGGTGCACATGTGTAGTCCCAGCTACTCGGGAGGCTGAGGTGGAAGGATCACTTGAGCCCAGAATGTCGAGGCTGTATTGAGCCGTGATCACACCACTGCACTCCAGCCTGGGCGACAGAGTGAGCCCCTGTCTTGCGTGAATAAATGAAAACGTGCTAACCTGTGTAGTGGTGAGCTCCTGTAGTTCCAGCTACTCTGAAGGCTGAGGTGGGAGGATTGCTTGAGCCTAAGAGTAAGGCTGCAATGAACTATAATCACGCCATCGCACTCCAGCATGGCAGACAGCAAGACCCTATCTCAAAAGTGTTTTAAAAAGAAACAGGGCTAATACTCAAAGATTGTCATGACAGCTAAAGAAGCTAATATGTGAAAGTCACTAAGGAGAGCATCCCACAGAGCAGCCCAATAGATACGAATGTCACCTTCCCAGTAGCCTGAGATAACCTTTTTCCCCAGGAGAACTGCTTCCATCCTCTGAACTTCCACAATCACTGGCTAGATCTAATGGGTATAGCTCAGTCTTATTTGATGAATCAAAAGCATTCACCAGTTGACTTTCCTCTTTCCTAGTTTGTTTTCTCTCAGCTTCTCTTCAGTCTCCTTTAAAAGCCCTCTTTTGTCACTTGGTCCCTGAATGTTGCTGTTCTGCCTCCCTCCTTCAACACTGTCACTCACTCCTGTGGATCCAATTAACAGCTATGTGCCGATGACATCTATATCTTGAGTCCAAACCCCTTTCCAGAATGTCAAACTCACACATCCAATCAGCCCCTGGACATTTTATCTGAATGTGCCACAAGCACTTCAAACTCAATATCCATCCCTAAACTTTCCAGCAAACCAACATTCCCTCCCTTTCTAACTAACTAAACCGTATTCTTATGCAAACAAAAAACAAGTCATCCTTGGCACCTGCTTCTCAACCAACTCCCACATTGTATCCATTCCTGCATTACAGCTATTGAAACTATTCACTTCTCTCCATGTCTCTCCACTGCCACCACCTTGGTCCCGGCACTGTCATCTCATGCCTGAGTCACTGCAGTAAAAGGGCTCCCTTCCTCTCACCTTGCTTTTGTGGCAGTCCATTCTCTACATTGCATTCCAAGTGAACTTTCTCAAAGTCTGGTTCTTTCTGTGCCCTTGAATGGCTCCCAATTTTCCTCAGAATTAAGTTCAAATTCCTGGCTGGGTGCGGTGGCTCATGCCTGTAATCCCAGCATTTGGGGAGGCTGAGGCAGGAGGATCACTTGAAGCCAGGAGTTCAAGAGCAGCCTGTCTCTACAATGGCAAAACCCTGTTTCTACAAAAAATAATTAGCCAGGTGTGGTAGTGTGCTCTTAGCTCCTCAGGAGGCTGATGTGGGAGGATCACTTGAGCCCAGGAGGTTGAGGCTTCAGTGAGCCCTGATAGCAACACTGCACTCCAGCCTGGGTGACAGAATCAGACCCTGTCTCAAAACAATTTTCTTTAAGTTTACATTCCTTAATCTAACAGTTATGGTCCTGAGCCCTCTGCTGTTTGCCCCCCTTTACATTTCCCTTCATCTCCTTTTCTCTGGGCCTTTGCACAGGCTATTTCCTCTGCCTGAAACATTGCTGTTCACACCTCTGCATCCCCCTTCATCTAGGTCCTTCTTCAGGTATTAACATAAATGTCCCACTCTTGAGAAACATGACTTCCTCTGCCAAGACTGAGTTGGGAATTTGTACCAGTCAGGGTCCTTGGTTGCAAAGGAGCGAAATGTAATCTGGACAAACAAGTAGAAAGGAAGTGTTATTGGAACTCCACTTAAGAGACCCACCGGAAGCCCAGAGAACCAGGCTTAGAAATGGACGATAATATGGTTTGGCTGTGTCCCCACCCAAGTCTCATCTTGAATTGTATCTCCCATAATCCCCACTGGCTGGAGCAGTGCTATAACCAGCCCCATTAGATCCTAGAGCTTCCTCTGCCAATATCTCAGTGATGGCAGGTCCAGGTTTGGAGTCCCAAGAAAAGCTCACAGTTGACAGAGCTTGGATCATGCGCCCACTCCTCACTGCCTTGGCTTCCTTTATTGGAGCGAGGATCTGGCATTTTGAGCCTCTGTTGTGTCAAGCAGACCCTGACTCCCACCAAGGGGGAACTGGAACTGTGGAAGGGAATTGAGTGAACAGCCCCCCAAACGGTAACTGTCTACTATGAGGGCCCTCTGTAATCCAGTTTCTCCTCTCGACAAGTCCTATACTGCTTGGGGCCACCTGCTTCCTGCCTGTCCTGCCACTGTCCTGAGAAAAGCTCCAGGAAGGGGAGGAGTGTGTCTCTCCTCGTCATCCTTCTATTTCCATATTATGGACCAATAAATAGGTATTGAATGCAATAGTGAATCCAGATTTTGTGGAACCTGAATATTATACATCTATGGGACAGGGGAGCTCTTAAACGAAAAGAATACAAAATTAGGTTCAGGGCCCAGAAAGAGTCCTGTGTAAAAGGGTGGCCTTGAAACAAACTTCATTCACTCCATGGTAACCCTAAGTGAGTTACTATAGTTGACATAATAAGTTGTAAACAAACAAAAAACTTGTAACTATTTGTCCCAGTTCACTAGACAGAAACTAAAAACAGGGTAGTTATCAATAAATACATGCTTGTTGAAGCCAGGCATGATGGCTCACCCTTGTAGTGTCAGTGCATTGGGAGACTAAGGCAGGAGGATCACTTGCACTCAGG